GTGTGTTCATGCTGAAGCTCAGTGAGTTTGCACAAAGTGCAAAAAATCGAGACTATTTTTGACTAAAAATAAACTTTAGAAAAAAAGAACATGCTCTCTATAATTCATATACTATTTTCCATTGAATGAATCTAGTACAATTTTGTAGGAAATGGAAATACTGGGCAAAAGATAGACTAGTTGTATCTTTGTTTCGAAAAGCTGCTTGTTCGCAGGATATTGGCAGCTCATGTGGTACCCATTTGTTTGAAAGCTTGTGCCTTCTCCTTATAGCCTGACCAATACAGTAACCAGTATGACACTAATAGACTTCAAATAGAAAGTCAGCATGAAAAGAGGCTTTAGTGGGATTTGAAATTCCAGGAAAAGGCTGAAATCTCTTTGAACTGAAGGGAGTGGCGGTGCGTGGTTTGAGCATCCTGTTATTCTGATGTGGATCCCACATGGTTCTACAGGCTAGAGTCAAGTCAAGCTAGGTTTTAGGGATAGGCTTTCTATTTGTGGCTCCACGTATTGCAAATGCACGTGGTTGAATGAAAGGTTGGGATGAAGGCAGGCTTGTGCTGTCCAGGACCTCGGGCCGTTCGTAGGGCTCAAACGCACAGTGAAGGCAGGCTTCCCACGCTGCTCAGTGCATCGCGCAGCCGCGATGGCAGCACGCTGGGAACGGCGCCTGTGGGCACAGGGCCTGCGCGCACAGCGCCTGGGGCCTTGGGCTGCGAGGGGCGATGAGGGCAGGCGCGACGGAAATTCACTTTGTGCTCGGGAAAGAGACGCTTGTGAGAATGCTCCTGAGCCTTTTTCTGGCTCCTTTCTTCTATTCTTTCCAGTGCTGCTTGAGCTCAGTGCTCTTTGGCTGCTCGTCAGAGAACGCCCAGAGCAAATGGCGGCCTGCGGAGAACCGGAGTGGGAGAAGCCATAAGGAAGCAGGCTGATAAGGCTGGGCTTGGGATCCTGAGTGCTGGGAGATGAGCTCAAGTGTGTGAATGGATTGATTCAGCACAAGGGAGGACGAGGAAAAGATTACTTTCATTTACATTACAGGAAGAATGAGATAATTTAACGAAGGGCAAAAACTGTGAGGATGGGAAGAAGGCCAAAGAGTCTGGAAGACACGAAATGTGCTGTATCTAGTTTTAGCAGAAAAATAAAAGGAAGATAAATGGTCTTTCCACTTGACGGTTATCTCTAGTCTTTGAGAACTCAAAGTAACTTACACAGAGGTGACTGGGGAGCAGAGAGCTGGCTTACAGAACCTCGCCACAAGAGTGCTAAAAGCAAAGCACGGATGTGGCAGCGCCCGAGGCTGCAGGAGCAGCGTGGTGGCGGAGGCCGAGGCTGACCCAGGGGCGGCTGGGCCTTGTGTGGCTGGAGGCGGCTGGGCAGGAGCCGGCGGGTCTGAACCCCTGCTCTCTGCAAAGGAGTCCTCGTTAGCAACCCTGGTAGTCTAATTAGATGTAACTGCAGGACATGGGGCTAACGGACTTCACTATCGTGTTCCAGTGCTGCTCCTTCTCCTGATGTGTGCATTTTTGCTACTGCTTCTTCAGAAGGCATCATTTGGGAAATCTGCAACCTTAGTTCTGCACCTGTTAGTATTTTTTACATTGAGTTTTTGTCAGCTGTTGTTATCTGTTCCCAAAAAGCCTTGGAGTTAAGCCACAGGACTGAAGAGAGAAAACTGGCTTCAAAAGGGAGAGCACAAATCAAAAGTAAACTTAAAATACAGAGTAGAGATTGGGTCAGCAGGATATGCAAATGTGTTGGGTTCTGTTAACGAGGGGTTGGATGGGTATGGTGGGATGGGGCTGTTTCTTCACTGGGCAACCTGATCTTGTGTAGCCCTGCCCACAGGCAGGGAGTTGGAAGGACAGGGCCTTAAAGGTCCCTTCTGGCCTTAAACTGTTCTTATTCCTGAGCTGAAGTCCTGGAGACGCATGGTGAAAGGCCATGGTGGGTGCATAGAGCATTCCTGTTGTGGCTTTTGAGGCTTATAAGTAGTGCCTGCTGTAGCTAAAAACAAGAGGGAAAGAGAACCTGTTAGAAACTGATGATAATAACTGTGTGATATTCCTCCACATGAGTCTGTCTGCAGGCTGCTCCCGTTTCTTCACTTGCAGCTGTCTGCTGCAGGCATCCCCACCACATGTAGCTGCTGTAGATTTGTTTCACATTGGTTTGAGGTCTTGAATTTGTTTGGAAACTGATTTTTCTGTATCTGTTGGTATTATGTCTAGTCAGAGTTGTGGACTGAGATGGTGATGCTCTCCGTCTGTAACACCTGTCCTTCATATTGAATGGTGTTTGGTGATATCTGATAGCTGGAGGTGTTTGCTGTGCCTCTGTGGCACCTGCTGCAGCAATGTCCCAAAGCACTGGAAGGCTGGAAGCCTGGGAAGAAGCCAGGAACCCATCCTTTCTCAGGGACAGCGTGGTATTTTCGCTTACTGGAGGATATTCAAGAACAATGTGGACATACGTAATTCTGTTGTGCTCTATGCTGTCTTTTGGGGGCTGTTTCAGGGCACTGTGTGTCACCTACTTCTCTCCCCTGTGAAATACTGGAGCAGTGCAAGCATTGCGTCGCCTTGCACTGTGATGAGCCTGCAGGTTGTTCACCTGAGAGGTTGCTCTGACTGCCTGGGACCTAGTTTGCCAGGCAGGATTGTTGTCATTTAGCTGTGAGGCAAATGGGCGAACTAATACCACTTCCAGCTACGTTTAAAAGCAAAGTAATGTTGTACTTTTTCTCCTTTGGAATTCTTGTAGGATGAATGCTTGAAATACTCCTGATTGGAAGCAATTTTTTCTCAAGTAAAAACAAGCTTAGTTACTCTAAATTAACATGTAGGGCGTGTGTCAGAATTTACAGATGTGTATGCTGATTTAAATGAAAATTTCCAGATGTACTAAATAAAATCTTAGTTTTATTCTGATATAGAAGGTCTGTGTCTGAAACTCAGGGAGGGTCTCAGTGGGGGCCATCGCACTCTGTAGTGCACTGCCTTGAGTTCAGGCGTGGGGTTTTGGGATTGCTGTGACCCCATAGGCAGCTGCTTGCTGTAAATATAGGCTGTAGGTAAAAATAGTGCTCTTTCATATATATGTTTTTACAAATGGCTGATCTCTGTCCACTTTGGATTATTTTTCAGAATTAATAGGTCTTTGGGGCATCTAGTGGCTGGTGTAAATAAGGTAAAGGAAAGTTAGGACTATGAGGCTTTTTGTTTTTAGGTGAAAGTTGTCTATCACCCACTAAATAACACTGTACTTCCAGTTTTGAAAACAAGCTCAGCAGTGCTGGTCTGCCTGCAGTCCAGTGCAGGACTTGCTCATCTAATCTTCATAACAGCCAGAAATGTTTAATCAGGAGTTTTGCAGATCCCAAGATCTTGCCTTCCTGCTGGATTAAATTTGGCCTTTTGGTTGAAATCTTGCAGAAATCACATGCAACACGTGTAAGCATGTTCCATCATAATCTGCATCTGTTCTGATTACAACCAGTACGTCCTGTGCCATTGTCAAAACTTACAGTTAAGAACTGGCTTGAAATCACAGCAGCTGCTGGTTTGTTTGTTTTCTCGTTGTTTCATGAAACAACTCATGGAGTTGTCTCATTAAGTTCAAAATGAGTGGAAAAAGGGTTAAGCTTGCAAGAACAAGTACTTACAGAGACAGCATTCTTTTGGAGAGAATATTTTATCCCTTGCTTCATTGCCTGCAGTTTTTTACGTCTGCAGCTTCCTTGCTGTGGCTCTGTAATATTATTTGGCTGAGCGGAAGGGCATGAATGGGAGACATGAATGTTTTGCTCTGTGTTTATTAAAGACGACCCTGAAGTTGGGCCAAGCCCTGTCCTGCTGGCTGAGGGGTGGAGCTGGGCCAGGCTGGGATGGGTGCGCAGAGCCAGGATGTGCTGAGGGGCTGCTGGTCCCTGCGCTTGCCTGCTCTGAGCCCAGCAGCGAGTTGCCACGGGGAATGCCGAGAAAGCTCGTCGTGAGAAAATGATCCCACCTAGGGAGTGGAAGTTTCACCTCCTTGTCTTGTAATATCTGAATTTGAGATCATTAGGAATGTGCAATCAACAAAAGGGAGGGGACAGCAGGGGACAGAAGTGACATTTTTTTCCTCTTGGCTTTCAAAAAAAATTTTTTTGAAGCAATGTGGGTGGAGGTTACTCAGTTCTTTATGGAATAAATATGTAAGTGTAGAGTTGTGTTCAAACAAAAAAAAACCAACACATTTTGACAGGAAAATACATCAGAACAGTAATTCTGCGCTGATGTTGGCCTCTGACCAACCATTGCCTGAACAGTTGCTGGGGGCAGGATGGGGGACCTTTGCTTTCCAGTTCCATACATTCTGCTGTGCCCCACAGACACTGCATTCCTGCTGTTTCTGTAGAAGAGTGATTTGGGTCTGTGTTTTCCCCCTACAACGCAGGAATTAGCAAATCTTGCTGATGATCGAAGTCAGTAAATGCTGTAGCTGTGTCCATGTTTGATGTGTAGAAACCATCCGTCTGCCTCTATAATTGTATCTGGTGTGCTGTATGCTTCATAGAAGGCACAACTTCGTACTCAGTATGTTTCTGCTGCTTCAGTTTTCATAACTTCTGTAACAATTTTTGAACACTTCTCCCAGTTTGTTCTTGACAGGAGAAAAAGCAAAAGCACAGCTGAATCCATTTGTTAGAATTAAGTCTGTGTAATTTGAAACTGTGCTCTCAAATTGCAAAAACTGGGTGTCAGCAGTTCACGTAAAGGTTTTGAAATCCTGGCAGTGAGTGTGTACTTCAGAAGCAGGTATTTTGATAAGTATCAGGTCTGTGGATCTAATTACTGGATCATCTTGTAAGAATAGGGATGTAGTGAAGTCGTAGGTGTAATGCATCTCCCTTAATTGTAGAAAAACTGAAAGCACCAGGAAAAGGGACAAGTGTTGTGATGTTGTAAAAATGTATTACTTTCTTCCTAACTTTTTTATATTTTGCTTTTCAGCCAGAAAACTTGCAGAAGAATTGGCTTCAGGAATTTTATCAGGTAAGGTAAAACTTCCTTGCTTATTAATAACATAAAGATCTTTCGCTTTTGTGAAGTTGAAGTTCCTATATTATGTTCAAAACCAGTCTTAAAAAAAAGTGCCCTTTGGATTTGTAATGATTAGTGTTAGACATCATTTGTTATCACTGACAATCTTCTGGTTTAAAAGAGTTTGAGTGCTTTGTAAAAATAAATAAATAATATTTATGTTCACATTTTTATGAAAATCTTAGCAGTTTCTGATGGTGGTTTGCTTATTTGAATTTGCTTGAAATTTTCCCATTTTAGAGTAATATAAAAAGTACTGGAACTGTATCTTAAGCATGTTATAAGCTTAACTGCGTATTTTTTAAGTGTGAAAGCCACTTTAACACATTCTGGTTTTGCATTAGAGGTTTAGAAACCTTTCATCCTTTCTGCGCAGCATCAGTGCTGTTTTACTTTGATAGTTTGTATCGCATCTACCAGAATTGATAGGTTCTGAAGTTCCTTTATTCATTATTAAATCTCTTATGTAAAAATGGTTAACACAACAACGTTCTGCAGTTCAAGTTTTAAAGTGAAACTGCAGCAAATGCAGCAAACTGGATTTTCAGTGTTTTGTTACTTTTTTATGACTGGAATTATAATCTCGGAATTATAAGGTCAAGGTCCCAGTGCCATTTGTGCCAAACATTGCGATACCATACAGCACTGCAGTTTCTGGCAAGTTTAATGCAATTGCAGTGAAATGACCGGTCTGAGATTCCACACTATCTATCAGCTCCACAAAAGATGAGCTTATTTTTTCTTCTTCTGTCTTGATTGATTAGTGGTGTTTAATTTGTGTGGGTTTCCTTGGCTAATTCTGATTTAAAAACATTTTCACATTAAAAAAAAAAACAAAAACAAAACAAAAAAAACTCCTCCTATGAAGGGAATATATATTGCAATAAATGGAAGCCTTTTTTTTCCCCTTTGGATCACTGAATATTTTATAACATCGTGTTCCTTCTGCATATTTGTCAACAAGACTGTGCATGTTCAGTTATTACTGAAGTGGAGTGTGTGCTATGGAAATGTCTCCAAATACTTTGTGGAAAACAGGAAAAAGAGGGGGAGAAATGAGCTGCTAGTATTCTGGAGCGGGGACCACTGATGTGGACCTGGAGTAGGCCTGTCTTTGTCCACTGAGTATCGAGCACACCAGGCTCAAAATAGGGAGAAATGGTTCCTTAATGGTCGCACGAGGCAGGTTGAGTCCAGGTGCAGACCAGCTGAAGTGTAACTGTGGCAGCCCTGGGCCCATCCCTCAGATACAGCAGTTCTGCTGCCTCCTTCCTTCCCACTCTTTCTGCCTTCCTTATCTGCAGTCCAAGGAAGCTGTATTTAAAAAAACAAAAATGTTGGCGGTTTTGCTCATCACCAGTAGGCAATGACGCAAACAGTCCTCAGGAAGAAAGCAGGAGCCTTGAATGCTTCCTCCTCACGTCAGTGCCTTGGGTAGGATTGCTGCTTGCACTGTTTGCTGCTAATGTGGTAGGAAGTGGAATAAAACTTTAAGGAAGAGACTAACATGGCTGTGCTAAAAGTAGCACAGCACAGTCCTGAAGTTGGGCTGCGTAGCAACCTAGTACATGTAGAACTTCAAATATATTTTTATTCAAGTACTGCATGTTCAAAGTCCTCTGCAAATTGAAATTCATCAGAAGTGCTGAAAACTGGCTTTTAAGAAGGCTGCTAATGCTTCTTCATAAACTCAAAACCCAGGTAAACCACAGACCACAACTTTTTTCCATTCTTCTGAGGAATTCAATTTGCATATGTGGTTGTGTCACTACAGTTTGCATAACTTCTGAGAGTGAAGTCCTTGTGCAAGCTGTCAGAATAACCTCTGCAAAAATAAATGTATTCCATTTAAAATGTTTCTAGAAATTAAGCCCATAATGAAAAGATGTCTTCATGTTTGAGTAATGGAGTTAAATCCAGCTGGTGATTGGTTATGAGTGGTGTTCTGTAGAGTTTGGTATTGGGCCTGTCCTCTTCAATATCTTTATTGATGACATGAATGAGGGCATTGAGTGCAGATGGCACCAGGTTGGCTGGAAGCGTCAGTCTGCCTGGGCGTAGCAAAGCCCTGCAGAGAGATCTGGGCTGAGGCCAGTGGGATGATGTTCAACAAGACCAAAGGCCGGGTCCTGTGCTTTGGCCACCGCAACTCCAGGCAACGCTACAGGCTTGGGGCAGAGTGCTTGGAAGACAGTGTGAAGGAAATGGACCTGGTTTGATTGATGCTCAGCTGAACATGAACCAGCAGTGTGCCCACGTGGCCAAGAAAGCCAATGGCATCCTGGCTTGTATCAGAAGTAGTTGCTAGCAGGACCGCAAAAGTAATCATCCCCCTGAACTCAGCACTGGTGAGGCTGTACCTCCAGTACTGTGTTCAGTTTTGGACTCCTCACTACAAGAAAGACATTGAGGCCCTGGAGCTTGTCCAGGGAAGGGCAATGGAGATGTGAAGGGTCTGGAGCACAGGGCTTAGGGGGAATGGCTGAGGGAGCTGGGATTGTTCAGTCTGGAGAAGAGGAGGCTCAGGGGAGACCTTATTACTCTCTGTAACTACCTGAAGGGAGGTTGTGGTGAGCTGGGGGTCGGCCCCTGCTCTTGTATAACAGTGATAGAACTAGAGGGAATGGCCTCCAGATGCACCAGGAGATTCAGGCTGGACGTTAGGAAATGGTACTTCTCTGAAAGGGTGGTCAGGCACTGGAATGGGCTGCCCAGGGAGCGATGGAGTCCCCTTCCCTGGAGGTGTTCAAGGAACGTTTGGATGTTGTGTTGAGGGACGTGGTTTAGTGAGAGCTATTGGCGATCGGGGGATGGTTGCACTGGGTGATCTTGTGGGTCTTTTCCAACCTTGGTGGTTCTATGAATGTCAAATAACACATTAAGGAGCGTCTCTATGGCTTTTTGTTATTTAAGTTCCAACAACTTTAAATCAGGGATTTTATATCAGCACAGGTCACTTAATTCATGTCATATCATAGGTTACTGCTATTTGCATTTCCCAGAATGTAGCATCTGAAAGACTTTAACATTTAAACAGCCCATGCTAAAATTTAAGTTTGTGCCACCATTCTGTGGGCAGTCTGATCCAGCACCCTGCCTGTGACAAGGAGCTGCTGGAACATGGTGATCCTTGATGTCCCTTCCAACCCAAGCCATTCTATGATTCTGTGGTATGATTCTACAAATACCATACAATCACAGAATCTTCTGTGTTGGAAGAGGCCTTGGAAGGCCACCTGGTGCCACCCCTGCAGTGAGCATGGACACCCACAGCTCCATCAGTGCTCGCAGCCCATCCCCTGCCCTGGGCTGCCTGCAGCGACCACTCTCACCTCTCTGGGCAGCCCATGCAGTGCCTCACCGTAACACATTCCTTATGCCCAGCCTAAACCTTTTCTCTCTTAATTTGAAACCATTTTCCCTTGCCCTACGTTAAATCTTGCATATTTTTGTGTTAAATTACACAATTTAACCAAGAAATGCAGATGGAAAAAAATCAAATTTTAGTGTGTAACTTCATCTTACAACATAGCAGTCTTCAAAGCTCGCTACTTTATTACCTTTCTGAGCACTGTTGATAGAGCTGATAAATGTTTTACTGTTTTACTTGGATGTATCAGTCCCTTGCGAATTTGAAGTCTGCATTTTGGATGACAGCTGACTTTGTATTTTAAAACTGGTCTACTATCAAAGGCTGGATGGCTTTCTGCCAGTTCACAGCAGTTGCTATTTTTCCCCTAAGGAAAAATAAAGCACAGTGACGGGGCAGTCCGGCAGAACTCAGCCCAGCTATTTATGGGCCCCAGCTCCTGGCACAGCCCCAGAGCTGCTCCCAGTGTGCTGCCTGGGCACACAGCTGGCTGCCCGCGGGAACGGCCCGAGCCTCAGCCTCGCTGCTGCTCTGGTTTTCCCATTGCTGGCTTTGTAGTCAAGCTTTTCCTTCTCACTACTGTCTTTTTTTTTCATTTGGTTCCACTGGTGAATACATGGTGATAACGTCGTGGTTTCATAACAATTTTCCTTGTGATATAAGCTGAAGGTATTATATTATATTCTGATCTGTATGTAGGAGGGCTTAAAGTCAGTCTGAATAATCTCCTGCAAAGCAGGGGCAAGGTCAGCATCGCAAGTAGTGGCATTTTAGGAACAAGAAGAGGGTTCTGAGGAGACTGTCTGCCTGTCTGTTAATGCTTAACAGACTGGTTAAAAGGTTAAAGCACGTCATCCAGTTAGAACACAGTGTCATCAGAAACATTCCCCGAATGACTGGGTAACAGTGCTCCTTCTCTGGACTAGAATATTAACTTTAAAGTTAGCATGTTTTATATTATCTGTAACGCAGCTGTTACCTGTCCTCCCATCTTCCTTGTCTACCCACAGAAGTACATGAGGAATTGCATATGCACTGCTGGTGTGGTGGCAGCTTTGAGAGAGATTTGGCCTCCCCAGGCTTTCTGCCTCTGCCTTACTGTAGATTGGGGTGGTAGATTTCTGAATATGTGGATTCATCTGTTTTCAAGTCGTAATGCTTTTCAGACAGAAAAGCTCAGAGTGTCTGAGTTTGGGTTTTGCTGCTTCTGCTGCTGTAATTGAATGTGTTTTCAGATTTTCTCTACAGAGCCAGAATAATAATACTTTTCCTTTAGGAAAACTTTTCTTTAATTCACTTCCAAAAGCTTAATTTCAGAAACTTGCTCTCTTGGAATGTGAAATTTGAGAAATGGTCTAGCGTTCTTCTTTTGCTACAGCTGTCATCATATTTTGTGTCTTACTGCATTTTGGCTTAGCGTGGCTGACTAATTTTAATCTGTCAGCATGCATTGGAAGGCCAGGAGTACTTCCTCAATCCCTGGCATTGTGCAGGCAGGCTCCCTGCAGGCGGCTGCTGGCTGAGGGAGCTCCGTCCCGTGCCTGCTCCGTGCTGCTGGGCGCTGTGCTGTGTGCTGCAGGGC